GTTACAAATGGGCTAATTAATTAATCCATTAATTACAAATGAATATCAGTGAGGACCCAGAGAGCACAGAGGGGTGTCATTTGCTCTAGGACACTCAACTAGTTGGTGGTGGAGCCACTCCACAAAAATGTGTTTTTATTTTCCAAAGCACTTTGGCATCTTTTTATTGAGGTGGGGAACTTTATTCAACAATCTTTTTTGTTTGCTAGTTTTTTGAGACAGAGTCTCATTCTGTCACCCAGGCTGGAGTGCAGTGGCACGATCTCCACTCACTGCAGCCTTCTCCTCCCAGGCTCAGGTGATCCTCCCACCTCAGCCTCCAGAGCAGCTGGGACTACAGGTACGTGTCACCGTGCCCAGCTAATTTTGTATACTTTGTAGAGACCAAGTTTTGCCGTGTTGCCTAGGCTAGTCCCAAAATCGTGGGCTCAAGCACTCCGCTTGCCTCGGCCTCCCTGTGACAGGGTTATAGGTGATAGCCACTACACCTGGCCCTCCATCCTTATGTAGTTGTAAAATACCTTGTTGTATCTTTTTTTTCCTAATCCATTTTATTTTTTTTTCTTTCAGGCCAAGAGTCTTTTTTTCCTGATAGAAAGTCATTGGTGCACATCTGAGAGATGTCAGTCTTTTCCCTCTACATATGAGAAAAGCCGGGCTGAGTGCAGCAGCTCCGGCCTACAATCCAGGGACTTTGGGAGGCCGAGGCAGAAGGCACACTCGAGCCCAGGAGCCCAAGACCAGCCTGGGCAGAATGAGATTCTGTCTCTTCAGAGTATTTAAAAATCAGCCAAGCGTAGTGGTACACGCCTGCAGCCCCAGCTACTCAGGAGGCTGAGGCGGGAGGATTGCTGGAGCCCAGTACTTCAGGGCTGCAGTGAGCTCTGATCCCACCATTGCACTCCAGCCTGGCCAACAGAGTGAGACCATGTCTCAAAATTAAAGAAAAAAGAAAGAAAAAGAGGAGAAAAGGCTGGCAAGGCCACTGCCACACAGCCACTGAGGGGCGGGGAGCTGGCTCTGCACACTGCCAGACACCCTCCCCCGCAGGCCGCGCAGCCTCTGTAGCCTTCACCAGCCCCCGCATTTCTCCTTGGCTCCTACATCCCCTCCTGGCTGCGCTTAACAATTTCCTGGATTCTTACAGAACACTGGAACGGCTTCCTTTGGAGTGTTCCCGGAAGCCCAGCATGCCCTGGCTTTCGCCCCAAGTGGCTGGCTGCTCTCAGGAGGTTTCCCGAAAGCCCATCTCCACCTTCATCTCGCTGGCCCAGAGGAGGCTTCCTTCCCTGGAGGGCTGAGCAGGCAGCTGGGGTCGGCCCAGGCCTCCGGCATGTGGCCATCTGAATCATTTCCTTTCGCAATGTATTGCTCAGTTTCAGGGCTTGCCACATGGGGCTATTTCCATTCCTTTCTGCAGCTGCACACGGGGGACGTGGCAGACGTGCCTTTCTCTGGACAGCAGAGGACCTCCCTGACCCCCAAACACCTAAGTCCTCATCACCCCCATTTCTTTTCTACAAATGGAGGTGATGGCCGGGTGCGGTGGCCCACGCCTGTAATCCCAGCCCTTTGAGAGGCCAAGGTGGGCGGATCACCTGAGGTCGGGAGTTCGAGACCAGCCTGACCAACATGAAGAAACCCTATCTCTACTAAAAATACAAAATTAGCCAGGCGTGGTGGTGCATGCCTGAAATTCCAGCTAATCAGGAGGCTGAGGTAGGAACCTGGGAGGCAAAAGTTGTGGTGAGCCGAGATCGCGCCATTGCACTCCAGCCTAGGCAACTTTGTCTTAAAATAAAATTAAATTAAATAAAGCAAAATAAAATTAAAATGGAGGTGATAACACTTGATTTGTCTAACATTTTCTTAGTTGTGAGGCAAACCAGATAACTCAGGTGAAGGGACTGAGGAGACTCCAAAGCAGTGACTGTCGGCTGAGGGCTGGGAGTTGATTCTGTCCTCGCGGGGACATTGGTTGTCACTCCTGGGGGACGGTGCTGCTGCATCTAGAGGTAGAGCCAGGGATGCTGCTAAATGTCCTGTAATGCATAGGACAGTTCCTAACACAAAGCGTTAGCCAGCACCAATTGGCAATCACGCGGAGGTGGCAGAAACCAGTTCTAAACAATAATTTAAAAACAGTAACATTTACGATGGCTGTGCACGGTGGCTCACACCTGTAACCCCAGCACTTTGAGGCTAAGGTGGGTGGATCACTTGAGGCCAGGAGTTCTAGACCAGCCTGGCCAACATGGTGAAACCCTGTCTCTACTAAAAATACAAAAATTAGCCAGGTGTGGTAGTGCATGCCTGTAATCTCAGCTACTCAGGAGGCTGAGGTGGGAGGATTGCTTGAGCCCAGGAGGCGGAGGTAGCAGTGAGCTGAGATTGCACGACTGTACTCCAGCCTGGGTGACAGAGCGAGACTCTGTGCCAAAAAAAAAAAAAAAAACAGGAAAGAAAAATAGTAACATTTACAGGGACTCACTCTGTGCCAGGTCCTTTACATGCATTGTCTCATTTAATTGCTTCAGCACCCTATGAGGCAGTATGGTTATTACTCCCATTTTACAGGTGAGAAAACTGAGGCACAGAAAAGTTAAAGAACTTGCCACAGCTAGAATAGGATGGAGCAGGAATGAATCCTGGGGGCTTCTACTGAGGAAGGAGACCTAGGCATCTGGGATCACCTCCCTCTTGACCTCCGCAAGGCATTTCAATAGAAGAAAAGGCTAGCCAACTGGCACCTCTTAAATCACCTTCCTATAAGACAGCAGGTGTGGTATGGGGGAGTCTCTCCAGAAGACACGGTTTTTACTTAAACAAGATCAAACCCCCACCCCAGTCCTCCATCCGGAGACCCAAGACCCTTTCACATGTAATTCCTAAAACTGTAAACCCAAGACCTTTCCATATGTGATTCCTAAAGCTGTAAACCCAAGACCCTTTCACTTGCAATTTCTAAGGCTGTAAACCTAAGATTCTTTCATGTGTAATATCCAGAGTGTAAGCCTATATAAAGGCAGAGCTTCTCTTTGTTAGGGGAGCTTGGCCATTTAGACAAAACATAAAGCCTCGCTCCCAGGCCGTAATAATAAACACCTCCTCCTTCCCGGGTTCGGTGTTTGAGAGGTCTGTTTCTTGCGGCCGCTCCTGCTTCACTACTTCCCAGACCCATTTTTTTTTTTTTGGGATGGGTTTTGATCTTGTCACTCAGGCTGGAGTGCAATGGTATGATCTTGGCTCAGTGCAACCTCCACCTCCCGAGTTCAAGCAATTCTCCTGCCTCAGCCTCCCGAGTAGCTGAGATTACAGGCATGCACCACACCTGGCTAATTTTTGTATTATTAGTAGAGATGGGGGTTTCACCATATTGGCCAGGCTGGCCTCGAACTCCTAGCCTCAGGTGAACCACCCATCTCAGCCTCCCAAAGTGCTAGGATTACAGGTGCCTGCCAACATGCCTGGCTAATTTTTGTATTTTTAGTAGAGAAGGGTTTCATTCCACCATGTTGGCCAGGCCGGTCTCAAACTCCTGATCGCAGGTCATCCACCCACCTCAGCCTCCCAAAACCCACTCTTTTTTTTTTTTTTTTTTTATATGGAGTCGGGGTTTCGCTCTTGTTACCCAGGCTGGAGTGCAATGGCGCGATCTCGGCTCACCGCAACCTCCGCCTCCTGGGTTCAGGCAATTCTCCTGCCTCAGCCTGCTGAGTAGCTGGGACTACAGACACGCGCCACCATGCCCAGCTAATTTTTTGTAGTTTTAGTAGAGATAGGTTTCACCATGTTGACCAGGATGGTCTCGATCTCTTGACCTTGTGATCCACCCGCCTCGGCCTCCCGAAGTGCTGGGATTACAGGCTTGAGCCACCGCGCCCGGCCCTCCAAAACCCACTCTTAATCTATGTGCTACAGGCCAGGCACTACAGGCTCACGCCTGTAATCCCAGCACTTTGGGAGGCCAACGTGGGCAGATCATGAGGTCAGGAGTTCGAGACCAGCCTGACCACATGGTGAACCCTCGTTCTCTACTAAAAATACAAAAATTAGCTGAGCTTGGTGGAAAGCGCCTGTAATCCCAGCTACTCAGGAGGCTGAGGCAGGAAAACTGGTTGAACCCAGGAGGTGGAGGTTGAAGTGAGCTGAGAACGCACCACTACACTCTAGCCTGAGCCGCAGAGCCAGACTCCATCTCAAAAACAAACAAACAAAATCTACGTGGTACAGAGCATGTTTCCTGTTTGCCTATGGCGAGGGTCTCACATCCACGCCTGAACAAATGCTATTTTGCAAAATTGTGCGCTACTCTTCCTTCACTCCAAATATAAGCACATGCTATCGAGATGAATAAATACAAGTTATTTTAAAGTGTTAATCAGTCAATATTTCTTTTCTGGCATTATGCATTTTCCTCAGTCAAGGGAATCTAGAAAATAAACCGCAATTATGTTGTGGGAGTTCATAAAAACCTTTCGTCTCTAAAACAGGGGAGCCTCAGTATCTAAAAGGCAGGAAATCTACATGACAGATCTGAACTAAATTCAAATCTAGCAACACCTTTTCTGAGTTTATCTTGTTTTCATGCAGCTCAGCAATGCTACTTGCTGAAAAGGTTAATTAAATGCCCTGAAGCCAAAAGCAAAACAAAAGCAGAACAAAACATCTCGCCAAACATACAAGGATTTTGCAGCTAACATGTTTGGTACAAGTGGGGACAAATTAATCCTTTGGGTCTCTTCCATTCAGTTAGAGATCCCACTTTTAAAGGCTGTTCCAGTAGAATGATTTCCACAGAGCACTTGTCTCTAAACCTCTCTCCTCCGGGTAAAAGACCACTTGTTGGGCAAGACGTTCCCCCTATCCCCACCACAATCCCTCCCAACAGAGAGTTCCCTCTGCAATACCAGAAGCCCCCCAGCCACTCCCCAGGAAGGCTGAGCAGGCCCTGGCAGCCAAGCCTGCTCTTGGCCCCTTTCCCTGAACCACACACTCACCCCTTCCTTCATGCTCTGATCCTGTTGCTCCATGCTTGCTCTGGAAGGGCAGAGGGCTGCTTACCTCCTTTTAGCCAAAGTAATCCGTGCACTAAATGGAGAGAGAAGACATTCTGGGTGCACTTTGGCCATGCCAAATAACAGCCAATAGCATTTTTACAGCCAGACTAAGTCAAAATAACCCTTTCAGGAACCTGGTCTTCCTTTCAGTTCTGCTTTTAAATGAAATGTCTGGGGATTGGGTAAGCAAGTGGGTGCCTCTGGGGACTGCAGGCCCAGCATTGTCCTGTTGGGACAGTCTGCGGTATTTCCCCATTGCTAAATTCTCCACCAGTCAGGCTCGTGGTGAGTGGCTGGAAGGGTTATTTTTGTCAGGAACGCGTGGAAAACAACAGCTGTCATTCACCCTACACGACACCAGGTAATACGGGAGCAAAAGATTGGACCACTGGAGACCTCAGAGAGGCTCTCCCTGCCAGGAAAGTGCAGTCTAGTCTCTCTG